GGACCACTGAACACACCAGAGACAAGTCCTCTCCTGGTCCTTAAGCACTATCCTATAGACATTCAGAGCTACCGCTGAGTGCAGATGGCCACCTACATGACATCACCCTTACTTCCCAGCTTAGCCCCTAGAGCACATGCAATTTGGAAACAAACATCAGTTTTTCATATTTTTCAGGGAACCCACCTAGGCCCGAGATCCAGTGCTGCAAAAGCCAGGGGTGATAATTAGGGCAGATGAGGAATTATTTGCCTTAATTCGACGACAGCAGAACCATTCCTGCCCCTGTTTACACTTTGTCTACTGGGATTTGCATTATGCAGATACAAGTGTGGATATAAAACTTAAACATATACCCATTCCTGTGTCTAGGATAAAAAAAAAAAAGAAAAAAAAGTCTGTCTATGCCAGAAACTGGCTGGAACTGGGAGCCTGGCTCTACAGGCAGAGTTAGCAGTTTATAAACTTCAAAGTGAATGGGGGTCCCCCCTTTTACTAGCAATGAAAAAACTTTAAAGGAAAGGCACCAAAGTTTGGGAGGAGTACTTTTTATGGTGAGCAAGGTAACTTCTTTTGGTCTAGTTCCCTGTTTAGAAAGCTGGTTGCCTTACGGCAATCACTGGCCCACCTGGCTGTGTCTTAGGTAAGCACTGCACACAAGCGATCAGTCAGTGATGAGCGTCTGCAGTGTGTCCTCTCCTGTAACACCCAGCACCAGCATAGATGTTGCCAGGGAGTAATGTTTCAGGTATCTCAGAGCACCATTCTTAACCTCTCAGAGGAAGAATCACCAAGAAATTTATTAAAATGAAGAACCTAGAGGTTCTGATTCTGTGTGCACAAGTGCATGTGTGTGTGTGTGTGTGTGTGTGAGAGAGAGAGAGAGAGAGGTGACAGAGAGATGCCTATGCATTTGGGGGGGGGGTGTTGTCATTTTAACAAGCAAGTCAGATGATTCAGATGCAGTTGGTCAATGGTCCTTACTGAGAAACATCTCTTCTAGAACCTGTAAAATGTTAAAATTCTTTGATTGTTAAAAGAAATGGACATTTAAATCACAGAAATATTTCTACTTAGGAAGGTTCAAAAACAATTCGTCACCCCAGGAAAAAAGCAAAGCATGCATGTTTTAGATTTCCCACAGTTTATCCTATCATGTCCTCACCACAATCTCTGAGTTAATTCGGGGGTGGGGGAGTGACATTGCTCTGACTTTGCTAACTAGGATATTAATGCAGGTAAAGTGATTTGCCAAAGGCTTCATAAGCAGCCGGGGCATGCGTGCAGGGCTCCTGACTTTTGAACGGAGTTCAGGTAAGATGGCATCCCCCCAGACACTCCTTAAGTTAAAAGCCTTGGCAAATGCATGAAGAAAGTATAAACACATTTCCTGATCTGGTTTGAGGTCAAGTTTTCTCATTTTTATAATTCAAAGCACTACTTCAACAGGCAATTTTGGGGAAGGTGGTGAAGGAATTAAGGCAGTTCTGCCATTTTCCACCTGTGAGCTCTGGGAACCCCTTCTGGAGACGCTTACATCACATGATTATGCAGGGCAGGGGGAGAGAAAACACATGGTCCTCTATGGAAAAACATCATCACATATTTCCCATAGCCGAGGAATCTGGCATTAACCAGGAGAGACACAACTGAGTTTTTAATTTACCATAGCCCAAAGCTTCGGAATAGAAAAAAAATGGAAGACATAGAGTGCCCCGAGAAATCTCATGAATGTTGTGAATATTCAGGAGAGGAAGTATGCAGATGACATCCTTTGATTTCAAAAACTTCCATGGGGACTTCCTGGCTCATTGTCTGGTTGGGTTTCACATACCACATCATGAGGTGCCTTGGGAAGATAAAGACTCTTTGACAGTGGAGAACAAGTCTTTAATTCTACAGCCCTTCCTTTCCCCTGCCCTCAAGGGAAAACCTGCGTGAGAAAAACTTCAAATATAATGGACAAGACAAAGAAATATTTAATCAAATCAGTTTAGGAAACCCTGGCAGAAACAATACATCTTTTCAATGGTTGAAGGTGTTATGAATAGACAAAATGCTTTGTGTGTCAAATCTCTCTCTGGCTTAATTCTAAAGCTTCAAAGAATTATATTCACTTGCCAAAAAACTGCTGTTTAGGGAACTGAAGAAAAAAAATTGTTTTCATTAATTCTTAAAACAGTAATTTTTATAAAGCCAGTCTCTTCCTAGCATACCCTTCACCAACTGATAAGCCCGGGGAGAGGCAAGGTTTGGGCATATTTTCAACAGTTCCCCAAAAGAGCCAATTCCTTGTACTGACTGTACCTGAACCCAGGTCCACTCTCTTTTCAGGACAGGACATAATTCCTCCTGGGTCAACACAAAGCCTTTCTGAGACTTCAGGCTAGTTCAGCCACGCTCCACCAAAGTGATTCCACAAAGGTGTTAAAAAATGTTTTTTAATACTTCTTTGCCATTTTTCAAAGACTGAACAAACTACTGAGTCAAAATACAGAGGGGCAGATGGCAGGTGATTCAGCACTAATGCTAGCTGTGACACTAAATTAAGTGGCTTACTGGTGCCCTTCCCCACTCAGCTCCCTCTGGAAGAAGACTAGACAAGCTAAACAGCTCTTTCAACTCAGCCAGCAGAAGACTCATTCAGAAATTCGGCCTCGAGAAAACTACACTAATCCTCTTATTCAATACCCAGTGAAAATCTCAGTCTCACCAGCTAGGTTCTATTTTATAACAACATCATTTGCTTTGTAGAAACACAGCAACCAACATAAAGGTTAAAATGACATGGTTCAAGTAAAAAAAAATTCTTCCATACAAAAATGAAATGATGTTTACCATTATCACTTCTTGCTCTTGGATAGAAGGAACTGCTCACTACATTTCTACAGGAAGAGTTCCCAAATATGATGGAGGTTTCACCATTAAGCTGAGGTTTAGAAACAGACCTGCAGGCTGTGTGCCTTGTCCAGAAAGAAGAGAGCCTGGAGCAGGTGTTCTCAGCACCACGCCTGACCAACGATCTCGTCACAGACACTTTTCTTGGTCTGTCTTATGGGACCAATCATGCTGCTCTACAATAACATTGCACAAAGCATCTTTGCTGGGAAATGCTCGTGTTGCTGTACAACAATCTGGGTTCATTCAGCACCCTCTCACTTCCTCTTCTACCTGGATTTGGAAAAGAACTGTCCCCTCCCCTTACAGACAGAAAAGACACCTTACAGAGAACACGCAAGCCTGCTCTCGCAGGATGAGGCCATGCTGCTCAGCGCCCACCCCAGGCCCCGCACACCCTGGGTATTCAGCTGGCTAAAGCATCCGGTGAAAAGGCAGGCAGGGCCACCCTGGATAATCTCACACGAGACTGTTGCTGAACATCATCTAGACTTGAGCGGACCCAGGAACTTTCGTTCATTTTCTCTACAGAGTAAGTTACCTGGCAGAGGTAACAGCCAGGTGTGTCATGGGCAAGCCGGTCCACAAAATTCCTGGGCCAGGCCCACCAGCGGAAGCCTGACACACAGTTCTTCCCTTCCCACCTCTGGTTCAGTCCACAGCACAAACATCTTCTGCAAGTGTGGGTGGATGTCTCAGTGCTACTGCCAATCTCCTCAGTGCCCAGCCCTTGCAAAGAGGGGCACACTGGCCTAGATCTGGGGGAGGGCCAGACAGGCAGGGCAGTGGGTTTTGGCTGTTTGGGAAGGAAACCTGAGGTACCAGGAGCCCAGAGAATGGACCAGAAGTGGGAAGACTGGCCTTATGCAGCATGGTTTTCACTCTGTGCAGAGGAATGCACTATGCAGGAAGCACAGAGGCCCCAGAGCACAGGGCCTGGGTGGGAGCAACCCCAGAGTAGCTCTGTGGGGTGCACCTGGAGCCCCTGGCCTGCACAGCTTTTCTGGGAAATTGAGGAGGTTTGGACCACAGACTGCCAAGTTCCTTCCTTTCCACACTTGATACCATGGGATTCTATGATCCAATTTGTCATTGTTTGGCTCAACCTCAAACACTGAATGAAAATAATATAAAAGAAAAGGACATATAAAAAATATTCAAAATATTCAAACAGGGTGGTGCCCATTGCTCAGTAGTTAGGGTGCCAGCCACATACACTGAAGCTGGCAGGTTCAAAACCAGCCAGGCCAGCTAAAACAACAATGACAACTGCAACAACAAAAAAATAGCCTAGCATTGTGGTGGATGCCTGTAGCCCCAGCTACTGGGGAGGCTGAGGCAAGAGAATCGCTTAAGCCCAAGAGTTTGAGGCTGCTGTGAGCTGTGATGCCACGGCATTTCACCCAGAGTGACAACTTGAGACTCTGTCTCAAAAAAAAAAAAAAAAATTCAAACAAATATAGAGGTCTTTAATCTCAGCCTCTCTAGTTCAAAGAGATGAACCATGAGAGATTTCTGGCTCATCAATGATCTGGTTAATAGAGCTATTATGTTTCTCTTTCACAGGTGACCAATTATCACCTAATCAGAGTATAATATTGAAACTATCATCAACATAATCATAGGAATATTAATACTCAAGATGGTTCCCATTCCCAAAGAGCCACAGTTGTACATATCAGCGCTATGTGCAATTAACACAGAATCTGTTATGGAAACGTGGACATGCTGGGCAAGTCAGAAGATTTAAGTTAACGATTTCTCACAATGCTTAAAATTTCAGAGTGGGCATGGTGGCTCATGCCTGTAATCCCAGCATTTTGGGAGGTCAGGTTGGAAGGATAGCACCAGCTCAGGAGTTCAAGTTCAGCTGGGGGCAACACCATGAGGCCCTGTCTCTACACGACATTTTAAAAAAATTTTCAAATGCCAGTTCTATGGACTGGGCAACCCCTTCAAGATGCTCTGATTTTGTAAAAGAAGCAGGTCCCCCCAGCCTCTCCTCCTGGTTATTGTAAGACACAGAAAGCCTGCTCACTCACACACGGAAAACACTGCTGTCAGGAGATACAGGAGGTACACTCACAGTTAGTAGCACTGACCTGTCCTCTCATATCAGGAGCAACGGGAATGGTGGGCCAGATGGTGGAGTAGATGCCAAAAAACACCAGCCAGATCAGCATGCTTCCCCAAACAGCCAGGTGACTGAACTGCAGAGGAAAACGGACCCTCAGAACATCTCACTGGCTGGGCAGAGTCACTTGAACCCTTCCTGCTGCAGGAGCCCCCATATCTAAGTCACCCCTTCCCTGTGGAAAGTGGTAACGATTGGGGAGTTCAATCTTCCTGATTCCCTTTTCTCAGAATTTTTAACAACGAACTCAAGTAATTAGTGGCCCCAAACCACACTGAAAAATATGCTTTTGCTGTCACAGCTGACTTTTCTCTAAGATCTATCCTGTAGTGACAGCAGGGACCTTTCAGTTCACGGCAAGTATTTGTTCCATCCTTGGATTGCGCAGAACAAGGGCTCATTAACCTAGTGAGAGAACAGTTGAATAGACAAAATGAACACGGTGTTTTTACTAAAAATTCTGAGACTTTAATTGTTCTGTTCATTTTACAAGGAGTTTTTTATTTATTTTATTTTATTTTTAATCTGGAATGGCTATTACACCGTAACAATGCTTGTTTAAACATCTGAGTTGTTATTTTTTTCCTCCTGTGCCCTGTAGTATGATGATCCTTGGCGTCTTCCTTTCTTTCATGTCTTACAATCTAATCCTTCTACGAGCCCTGTTAGCTTTTCAAAGAACAAAAATACATCCAGACCCTGACTACTTCATAGCACCTCTTCCTCTAACTCCCAGCCTGAGTCACCATCTCTTCTGCCCTGGACTAGTTGCCACTGTCTTCTGGGGGAGTCCCTGATTGCACAATGACTTCCCACCCCCATCCCCACTTTTCTTAGCAGAACATTTAAAAAGCAGTCAGGTCATGACATTCTATGAGAGATAAACAAGAAACATTACTTATAATCCTCAAATGCTATAAATAACCAAAATGTCTAAAATAACAGGCTAATGAAATAAATAATAGAGCATCTATAAAGACTGATACTCTGGGATCATGAACATGGAATTTGACTTTGTTGAATTGTACGGTAAATTGCACATAAACTTTATGTCCTGTATTTTAAGGCACAGAAAAATGCACCTGGTATATTTTTAAGTATAAGAAGATTACAAAACTCTGTTTTATAACATATCAGCTTATTAAAAAACACATGCATGTATGGAATAAAGTCTGGAAGATTACAGATCATAGTGTTAGGAACTGTCTCTGGGTGGTAAAATCATGGGATTTATTTTTTCATCCTTCTGTATTTTCCACATGTGTGTATATATGGGTTTTGGCTTTTTTTCTTACAATGGGCATATACATTTGAACTGAGGTGACTGTTAACAGCTTACAGCCTTATCTGGTGCTTCAGCAAATGAATCACCACGAAACTCTGGACTGCAAATTTGCCCTCAGAAAGATCAAACCACAATTTTTACATGCTAATTTTAAAATAAGAGAGCTAGATGTTGCTTATTATTTCTCCAAGGCTTAAAAAAAAAATCGTACCATAAAAATTATCTATACTGGATAAAGAAAAAAATTCTACAAAAACTTACTTTAGTCCAAGCTGTAGTCTCCAAACCAGCTTTCAGGCAAACAGTAACAACAACATACTGTGAAAAGAAAGAAGAGTTTGGAAAAACACCTTATCCTCAGTGAGTTATTTTCACTTTCCATGAGAAATTCCTCTCTGCTCTAGAGCTAATTCCTCCAAGGAAGTGGTACTTTGCAAGTACCACATTGGCAGCTAACTCTCTAGGGACCGTTTTTAGGAAACATACAGGCAGATTTACTACCAGAGAAACTCTCATTCTATTGATGGCATTTTCACAAATAATAGTTTTTCCCTATTCTTAGCTTGGCTGATATGGGCAAAAATCACATTCCTGAGTGTTTTCTTTACAGGGTAGATGTGGAATAATCATTTGAAAAACCAGGCAATGTGCTAATCACTTGTCCAGGAACTGTGACTCTGTGTCACCTTCAAAAGCAATACAGTAAGGATTTCACAACCATGCCGAACTTTAAGGAATCTATAAAACAGACTTTGAAGATTTGAAAGAGATAGTAATAATGAAGAAGGCCACACAAAGGTTATAAAAATTATAACCCACACCTAGACCTTTTAAGAATGGCTCAATAGGCTCGCGCCTGTGGCTCGGCCGGCTGAGGCACCAGCCATGTGCACCTAGGGTGGCAGGTGCGAATCCCCAGCCCCAACCCGCCAAACAATGATGATGGCTGCAACCAAAGGATGGCCGGGCGTTGTGGCGGGCGCCTGTGGTCCCAGCTACCTGGGAGGCGGAGGCAGGAGACTCGCTTGAGCCCAGGAGTTGGAGGTTGCTGTGAGCTGTAATGCCATGGCACTCTACCCAGGGGGACAGCTTGAGGCTCTGTCTCAAAAAAAAAAAAAAAAAAAAAAAGAATGGCTCAATAAGCAAACTTACTGTGTAAACAATATTTCCAACAAATAGATAGTCCGTAGCATGACCACTGGCCAACGCAGTATCTGCAAAATAAATAAGGAACCATTAATGTCCAGGAAGCTGGGCATGGCCTTCTATTTTACTCAGAACATTATAAATGGAATTTTAGAAACATCTATCAAAACATAAGGGCATTTCAAAACTGCATCATCTGTGATTCTAATGCCTACGTCTCTTTCTAATTCTGAAGCCTTTCCTCTTAGATTTTCTCCAAATGAAGTAAATAAATTTAAGCTGTCAAAACCCAAACAACCAAACATTTGATCTGCATTGAAATTTACATCTTTATAAAGATATTTTTATCCAGTTTTTAAAAAAAGGAAAAAGGACATACTAATCTCTCCTTATTAAGTGCTAGCGTTGTACCTTCTTCAAGTGTTCATTTAATATTCATCATTAATTTTTGATATTTGGATATTTTGAACCAATGACCAGTGATAACTATATGAATACAAATTCAATTCATCATGACTGAACTCAGAATGAGTTTTGGGTGACATTCATGACTCATGTCCTCATTTGCAACTACATGCATTTCTGGAGTCTATAAATTAGGAAATGCAAGCATCCAAAGAGAGATGTTTAGAAAATACAACTGGGATGTTGAAACTTCAATTTTCATATAATTTTCTTTTCTTTTTTTCTTTTCAAGGATAGCTATTAAACTGTATATAACAATCGCTAAGGAGAATGTTAGTAGAATCGTCCAATTCTTGTTAGCTAGTCCTACTCAGAGAAGCCTGGTTTTTATCCCGAGGGGTCAAAGGCTCTTTTAAGATCAGGAACAATTTCTTGGATGACGCTGACAACCTCCTCTGACTCTGCAATGAATGCAAAGGCAGCTTTGAAACAGTACTGGTGGAATCACAGCTGTGCAGTCTAACTTGATAGTCACCACTGGCTGCATTTAGTTGTTTACAGTTAAGAAAATTAAAGTAAAATAAAATACAATAGAGAAATTCAGTTTCTCCCACGGGCTGGGGAGGATGAGGAGAAAGAGGAGTGATGGCTGAAGGGGCACAAAGTTACAGTCTGGGGGGATGAAAAAGTTTTGTGAACAGATAGTCATGATAGTTGTACAACTTCCTGTATATGATTAAGAACTCTGAATTGTATGTTTAAAATGGTTAAAATGGCAAAGCTTATGATGTTTTACTATAATAAAAAACTAATAAAAAATGGATCATGGAACCCAAACTTGTAAAACCCTTAGGATAAAACAGCAAACTCTTTATGGCCTTGTATTTGGCAATAGTTTCTTAGATATGACATTAAAAGTACATTGACAAAAGAAAAAAGTAGATGAATTGGACTTCATAGAAATTAAAAATGTCTGTGCTCTAAAGAGCACCACCAAGAAAGTACAAAGACAACCTAAAGAATGGAGAAAATATTTGCAAATTATATATCTGATGAGGAACGTGTATCCAGAGTACATTAGAACTTTTACAACCCAACGGTATAAAGACAAAAAAAAAAAAAAACAATTTAATAATAGGCAAAAAGTCTGAATAGACCTTTCTGCAAACAAAGTGTACGAATGGCCAAGTGTATGAAGAGAAGCTCAACATCTTCAGCCATCAAGGTAACACAAAATCAAAACCACAATGAGATATCGCTTAGCACTCACTAAGGACACTATAATGAAATAGACAAATAATGACAAGAGTTTGTGAGGATGTGCATAAATTAAGTCCCTCATACACTGCTGGTGGGAAAGTAAAATGGTACAGACATTTTGTATGTAGTTCTTCCAAATGTTATGCATAGCTGGGCTCCGGGATATCCACCTATAGTCCCAGCTACTCAGGAGGCTAAAATGGGAAGGTGGTTGGAGCCCAGGAGTTTGAGGCTGCTTGTGAGCTATGATTATGCCTGTAAGTAGCCACTGTACTCCAGCTTGGGTGACACAGTGAGACTCCATCTCAAAAACTAAAAACAAAAGGTTATGCGTAGTTACTATATGACCCAGCAATTCCACCCCTAGGTACATAAAGAAATTCAAACATAGGGCCAGATATGATGGCTCTCGCCTGTAATCCTAGCACTCTGGGAGGCCGAGGCAGGCAGATTGCTGGAGCTCATAAGTTTGAAACCAGCTTGAGCCTCAGCAAGAGCGAGACCCCATCTCTAAAAATAGCCAGGCGTTATGGTAGGTTCCTGTAATTCCAGGTACTCAGGAGGCTGAAGTAAGAGGATTGAGCCCAGGAATTTGAGGTAGCTATGAGCTGTGATGCCATGGCATTATACCCAGGGTGACAAAGTGAGACTCTATCTCAAAAAAAAAAAGGAAAGAAATTCAAACATACAAATAATATGGAAAAACTGATATGAATGTCACAGCAGCACTGTTCATAATAACCCATTCATAACCTGAATGTCCGTCAACTGGTGAACTGATAAATAAAATGTGGTGTATCAATACAATAGAATATTAGGCTATAAAAGGAATGAAGTGCTGACACCTGCTACAACATGGATAATCTCGAAAACCTTATGTTAAGTGATAGAAGACAGACACAAAAGGCCAGGTACTGCATGCTTCTCTTTGTCTGAAATGTCCAGAACATTTCCGGTCCATACACTCTGTAGAGACAGTGCAGATCAGTGGCTGGCAGAAACTGCAGGGTATATGGAAGAGACAGGGAATGACTGTTAACAGGTAGAGGGCTCCTCTCAGGGACAGAGAAATCTTCTATAATTGATTGCAGTGATGGTGTGCAACTTCGTGGGAAAATGAAAAACAACAGAATCGTAGTACACTTTAAATGGATGAATTGTATGGAATATAAATGGCAGAATAAAGCTGTCATACAAAAATTCAGTTCCTCAGTCATTTGAAATAGTCAATATTGCACATGTGGCTAGAGGCTGCTGCTAGCACAGATACAGAACCTCCCCATCCTCACAGAAAGTTCTATTGGACAGAGCAGGTCCAGGCTGGGAGTGGCTATGATAGGGGCTGATAAGAAGTAATAGAAATGACAGGATTCATTTCTAAAAAATGTGAGGAATCAATGATGCTGTCAGGATTTTTGGTCCACGCAGCCAGGTAAATAGTGGTTTCTTAAATGGCGAGCACTGGTTCCGGTCATGTTAATACAGAGTACTGATTAAAAGTAAAGCACGTGAAAACTCAGTACCACATGATCAGGTTCATAATAGGAAGAACAGATAGCAACGAGATAGACTGTATCACAGAGAAATCAAAGGATAATCAGAGGGATGAAGTAGAGAGAAGAAATTGGGGATAGTGGAGTAAATCCCTGTAATGAAAATTAAAAGACCCCATTATAGGCCTGCTGTCTTGTTCCAGCTCTGCCATTATTTTGTTTTTTAAAATTTCGGGTTCTAGGTCTTAATTCTTCTCCTATGAAATAGACGTTTTATATTCCGATGTAGAAGATGATGACTAAATCACTTCTAAAGGTCCTTCTCAGACAGGTGACTGTAAGAGGCGACAGTCTATCTTCTTAGCTCCTAAATCAGCTGCCCCCCCCCACCCAGATTTAGCAGGAGAAAGGTGAGTGTTTCAGATGCTTCTCTTCCTCAGTTTAAGATAAATTTCCTCGTCTCCATCTCAGACCCTCCACGAGCGTCTCAGATCCTCTTCTTCCTCACATTAGGGTGAATTTCCTCGTCTCCATCTCAGACCCTCCACGAGCGTCTCGGATCCTCCTGTTCCTTCGTTATAGTCTCTATCTCATACTCCCCGTGCTCATCAATGAGGAGTGGCCATTTCAGTAGGAAGAGGAAGGATCTGTGTGCCTGAATGTTCCACCTGAATGACACCCACACGGAACCTAGAGGAACCCGTGATGAGATGCAAGAATTACAAGGTGTGGGAGACTAAGGTGAAAATCAAAGTTTGCAGGTATGGTTTTGAAAACTTTTTGAATTTTCTTTTATCATCAAAATTTCTAATGTTAGTTGACTCATGGACTAAAAGATATCAGACATACAAAGCATTTGTCTAATATGGAGGTGTAAAATGTGTTTCCTATTTTATGGGCATACACATAAACAGAAAATTCTTAGCCATTATAATACCTTAAACACTTATCACACGGCAGGCAACAGTTCTAAGCACTTTACACGTATTACTGCGTTAGCTCCTTTAATGCTTTAACAGCCTCATGAAATAGCATTATTATCTGCATCTTTCAGACTGTGAAACTGCTACAACAAAGAGAAGTCGAATCTTATGTCTGAGGTCACACAGTTAGTAACAAACTGGAAATTTTGAAAATAAGAGCTTGTTTTCATTACCTGAGTTAGAAAAATGGACCCCAAAGAATGAAAGGAGACAACTTTAAAGGGAAAAACAATTAGACCAAGAAGTACTCTTGTGAAATACCGACATTCAAAGGGAAGGAAATCTCTAGCAGAAAACCAAGGTGAACAGAAAATTAGGTTTATAGGACAGAAGTGGGCAGCACATGAGGAAATACACACGGTGAGCCCCTCAGGAGCAGAAGGAGTACCCGAGACCTGACCTTTATTGTGAGCTTGGGTGGGGCATTTCCTCAGTCCAGTTCTCCAACCTCTGCACCACTGACATTTTGGGTCAGACACCTTGTTGTGGGAGCATCCCTGGACTCCACCCGCGAGATGTCAGGAGAGCCACCCTACTTATAACCAAAAGTATCTGCAGACATTGCCAAATGCCTTCAGGGGGCAAAATCAACTGGTTGAGAATCACTGACTTAGAGGAAAGAGACAGGAGGAGCTGGAATAAGCAGAGAGAACATGTTCTCATCTCTCCAGTCAGGTGAGGAGGTGATAGGGCGGACATCAGTGGAGAGAAACAGAGGAAGGCTTTAGTGGGAGGGGATGGAGTTCACAGAACCGTTTGGCTTTCTGAATGCCTTGGGGTGGTTAACTTAGGAAAAGAGCACATTCATGGAGGGGACCCTTACGACTTACTGAACGCAGAGCTGGCAATGTGGCAAGAACAAAAGAGAGAAACGTAAAGGATATTTTCCCCTGTGGCTCGGTTTCACAATGCATTAATTTCTAACCT